GGACGTAGGTGATCATGGTCTTCCACATCTTCCTGTTGCTTGTAGTTCTTAATATGGTTTGTGTTTTTGTTATTTCTCCCAAACCTTGTTCTGCCATGCATTTGCTAAAGCCCATCAATTATGTGACGTACTGCTTTCCTCTGTCTCTCTTTCCGTCAATCTGTCCTGTGAGTATCAGGTTTTCCAAGCCCCTCTCCCTCATTACGTACCCCAAAAATTTTAACTGCATCTTCTTGATGTTAAGTATCAGGTCATCCCATAAGTTCTGTCCGAATTTTGAATACAGAAAACAAGTGACCAAATGTTACATTTAATTACAGATTCAATCAACAATGTATTTTCCCTGATTATCTATGACTTCCTTTCATCTATTAACAAGCTTACTAGTTCCATTACTGTAAAATTCTTTTGGCTTTGATTCGAAGAACTCAAAAATGTCAGTTTTAACCTCTTCCTGTATTACAAAAGCTGTTTCTTCCAAATGATTCTGTAAGCTACGAAACAAATGGTAGTCTGAAGGAGCAAGATCGGGAGAATAAGGTGGATGAGGAATTTTCTCCCAACCAAGTTCTTCGATGTTTTGTGACGTGATTCTTGCTGTGTGGGGTCGCGCGTTGTCCTGATGAAACATCACCTCTTTTCGATTCACTAGAGCAGGTCTTTTTTCCTCAAAGCTTGGCTCAAACACTCTTATTGCTAACATTATATTTGAGCATTAATTGTTGCATTAGGTGGTAAGAATTCAAATTCCTTGGCGATCCCACCAGATTAAAAGAAGAACCTTTTGCCCATGAAGTCCCCTTCTCGGTTGTGGCTGGGGTGCTTCCCCTTTACCAAGCCACTGTCTACGACGCTTAACATTTCGATAAAAGATCCATTTTTCGTCACCAGTCACAAGTATACCCAAAAAAGGTGAAACAAGTTGGCGAGAATGGAGAGAAGAGCAGATGTCAACTCGGGATTTGAGGTTGTTTTCAGACAATTCATGAGGCACCCATTTTCCAAGTTTAGGAACTTTTCCAAGTTGTTGAAGATGACGATGAACAGTTGTATGGTTTGAACTGAGAACCACTGCCAATTCCTCAACTGATAAAGCAGGATTTTCTTCAAGGGCTGCTTCAAGAAGCTTTTCATCAAACTCAACTGGACGTCCGGTTCGATCTTCATCTTCAAGAGTGAAATCTCCACCTCTGAATTTTGCAAACCATCTTCTGCAAGTTCTTTCATTCACCCATTCCTCTCCATAAACTGATTGAATGTTTCTAGCCGCTTCAGCTGCTGACTTTCCTTTCTTGAACTCATAAAGCATTATGTATCTCCAATGATTCTTGGTACTTCCATGTTAGCAGGGTTTTAATCAAACAAAATTTAATTTTATTGTTCTCTGAAATAAAATTTGATCAGTTTAAATGCATCTAAACATAAAAATAATGTTCAGCTCTATTAGACATTAATTTTTAAAATACTCTTTAAATTTGGTTCATTTTAACAAAAAGTTCGGACAGAACTTATGGGATGACCTGATATGAGATTTTTTTGTTTCCATTTTCTCTAAAACCTCGTCGTTGCTCACATGGTATCTTCAGCATCCTTCTGTAGAACCACATTTCTGTTGCTTCAAGTCTTTTAGTCAAAAGATTCCATCAATTAAACTTTTGAATACTCATCCTTTAATCTTATTTTTTTTTTATTATCACTACTACTCAGACCGCCATTCTACGGCCATTAGCAAATAGCACGGACTGGAAATAAACTCTTAACAAGACTCGAACTCATTATATCTTAGAAAACTTATCCTTCTGTGTTAGCTGTTTTTATTGATCGAGAAATGAGAATTTTATGGCTAGTATAATCAAATCTAATCATATAAATGTATTATTTACTAGCTTAAAACCACACTCTGTGTTGACGTTTAAACTAGCGGAGAGCTAATAAGGCCTCCGGGCCAACACTAATGGGACCTCTGGTCTAACCTAGAAAACAGCAATGATCGTTGAAGAAATAACCTCAATTCACTCTATGGAACTTCAAAACCTCACTTTAATTCTGGTTTTGGCTATAAACCTAATTCAATCGATTTAGGCCTAAAGTTCGATTTGGGCTGAAATTCCAATTTAGGCCCAAAACTGTGGAACTTCGAGTGGGGTTCTTCAAATTACAAAATGCAGAACTTCAAAAACCTCACACCAAAAGACCTCTCATTTAACTCTGATTCCTTGGCCTTTTGAAAAAATAAAATTGATTTCTTCAATTCACAAAGTTTTGGAGATATTTTAAACTGAATTTAAAATATAAAAAAATCAGAAAGTTTTTGTGCTACTTTAAATTCAATATAAATTTTTTTTTTAAATTTAAAATCACTAATATTTCAGTTATTTTAAAATTTAAAATCCCAATGTTAGATGTTCAAGCACCAGATGAGGGACTGATTTTTAATCACAGGATCATCCTGATTTCAAAAAGGTATAATAGAGTTAGGGAGGTTTCGAACACAAGGATGGACAGACAGAATTTACCTCTTATTTATTTAGATTTTCCTTCAATCACTCGGCACCGCCATATTTGATGTCATTTTATTCACATTGTCGTTGTATTAGTAGTAATATCTTCTTAAATTTTTAGTAGATGGGAAATGTCAGCCATTATTCATTTTTGATGAGTACTTCATTTATCTTAATTGCAATTGGTTTCATCGCAACTACTCAGGCTATGGTCATTAGTGTTGTGCATTCCTTTCGACCCGCCGATTAATTATGACTATAGAGCAACATCGTGTTAGATCATTTATCAATTATGAATTATTGTTCTACGGAACACTGCAAACACAGACAATATTTTGGTGATACACGCTGTTTAGGAGATACGATGAAAAGCAACTGAAATAAGGATTAAAAATGTATTAGTCAAAATCAGTGTAGTATTTGAGCATGTGCCATCTAAAAGAAATTCATTATATTATTAAATGCTGTATACTATCTGATATATATATATATTATAATTTTTACATACAGGCAAAAACAACTTTCTAGCTACAAAGATGCATTATTGTTTGGATGCAGCTGCATCTCGACTGGTGAGAACTAAAAATGCTTCTAAGCATTGTTTTTGTTCGTATGTAAAAATTATAAAAAATAATTATTGCTCTACTCTTGAGCCCTCTTTTGAATTAATGCTGTGAACGTCAGAATTTATATTATTTATATATATATATATATATATATATATATATATATATATATATATATATATATATATATAAAAGGCTCAAACACTAATTAATGAAGTAATTAGAGAAAGTTCCACAGCATATTATTATTGTTTGAGCCTTTTATATTATATTCTTGCTCTGTCTTGTACATAGAGCTGTGCCTGGATTTTATTCTCTTGGACACATATATATATATATATATATTGAGCACTAATATTGTGTGTGTGTGTGTCTTTGTCCACTGCCAGATCACAGAAAATTCCAGATGACAGAAATCACCCTTATATAAATATAGTCTTGCCAGCCCATTCCACATATGCTGATGAACTTTCTCTAATTACTTCATTAATTCCACCTTTTTAATCATAGATAAAGATTGATGATTACACCAGCATCAGCATCTGCTATTTCTGCTCTCTTGGGTGGCATCCTGAGTTGGTAAATATGCAGCTATATATAAGAAATGAACACGACCATATCACCAAAAAATTTTGCTGCTGTCGACTGCTGCGTAAAGTTGTAAACAACGTATGGTGCTGCCTTCGTAGTGGCTCAGCGAACTAATGTCAGTTGTTCCCTAAAAGTACTGGAGAATTGGAGTTATCGAGATTTAAAAAGTCGGGTTGCATCTAATACATTTTTAAATATATATATATATATATATATATATATATATATATATATATATATACAGAACATGAAATTATGAAGCAGTTTCAATTGAGATTTCCTTTGTCTTTGTCATTGACAGCAGGCATAAAAGTATCTGTATGTCAAATTTTTAAGTGTTTGATGTTCAGATAGGAAAAAGATAAACTTAGAACTATTTCAAATAATAGAAGTTTTTAGTCAACGTTTTACGATGACATAGTCCGTCATATTATTTATCATTTGAACTCATGCAAAGATGAGATATATGTTTAATTTAAATTGATAATACGGAAAAGAAGGTAGTAGGAGAAAGTTTGTTTGTTTTTTTTTTACATAGTGACATTAAATGTCATCTCCAATGATGGTAAGTTGTTTCTCTTTTTTGTGCTTATATTAGTTTCGTTTATGAAGTACCAACGTAGATTTCTCACCTCTTATGTCGCAGAAGCAAAGTATTTATATCTTCTTACAGTTTGCCACTCGTATTTGAGGAGCCTATCTACTAGGGCGACTAACCAATCTCTATTGCAGACATATACTCAGGGATATTTGTGTTTATTCAACATCTACATAGCCCAATCTCCAGTTTATGCTGCAAATATGTTACTTAGTTACAGTTTCTGGGAGAAAGCGCATTATCTGGCGTGATCAACAGCCCGAACAAGGCCAGCACGCTCAAATCCTCGGTCACGATGACTTATGACTTCGTGCTAGCACAACCATCGACGGCTCTCAAAATAGTTACGTCTACCGAATTTCACTCACAAGGCTTGGGTTAACCCGTGGTATGGTTTTCAGGCACTTTCCAAAGGTGCCACACGCTGGGATCACCACTCCAGGCTGATAACATTAAGAAGTTACCTTCCTGTCAAATCGACCATAGTGAGATTCGAACCCGGGTCGCATGGTCGGAAAATGTTTTAACCACTCGGCCACGTGCCCATATATTATAATTTGTATAATTACTAATGAAATGTATCAAAAATTAAACTGAACGCCTAATTTAGTGGAAAACGCATGCAAAAAAAAAAAAAATGAAATTGTACCAGTTATTCAGTGCGAATCGAGAAGTCAAATTGCGGATCTTGTGTATATAGGTCTTAGTCAAAATAGAGTTTCATTTTTGTGTCGTTCTTCATACACGATACTGACCGGAGAGATGCAGGCAATTGATTGCTTTCTTCGGTCACTTTTTGTATGCGAATCACCCTATTTGATCCTCCGTCTGAGTCGCTCGATTCAGTGCCGCTCATGTCTCCGGCTTTTTCGCGCTCGCTCATATCGGCACTGTGAATTTTGGCATGTTTACTCAGGTGGTCACTGCGCATGAAGCGTTTATTGCACATAGGACATGCAAACCTTTTTTCGCCCGTGTGTGTCCGGAAGTGACGCTGCAGTTCATCGGAGCGAGTGAAGCGCTTCCCGCAAAAAAGCCAATTGCACACAAACGGTCGCTCGCCCGTGTGCCATCGCAGATGCGCTTTTAAGTGCGATATCTTGCTGTAGACTTTGCCACACCCAGGCACATGGCAGTTGTGCAACTGCTGCTTTTTCAGGTGTTCGCCAACCGGACCCAGTTTCTCAATCTCTTGGCAATTTGGGCATTCACAGCATGTCTGTCCGATTAGACGGCGGCGATTGGAGTGATTTCTGGGTGATTTCGGTGGTTCTGCAGGAGACGACGAGAGCGAACTCTGACTCACGTACGACCCAAATGTGAGAGGATAATTAATTTGGGACGAAACGTGCATCAAAGACGCGGTTTGGTATGTACCCGAAATATAGTGTTGACTAATGTTCGAATCCATAAAATAAGATTTAGGGGTGGTGTTAATCAGAGAATCAAGTGGGATATAATTTCTACTGGTCTGTTGATGAAAACGCTCATCGGTGAACTGCTGGCGAAAATTTTGTTTTCTGCTACCGACAGCAGTAGCTGCCGCACTAAACCAATTCTCGGTAGATTTATGAAACTGAAGCCAGGTTGACTGGCAAAGTTCAGTATTTGGGTTAATATGCGTTTTGATAGTTGATGTTACAGGTGAAGTGAAAACTCCGAGAGGCCATGTGTCACAAGTTGCTTGATTGAGTGTAGTTGCTCCTGGATGAAACTGCCGGTTGGCAGTTGTTACTGTTAAATTATCGGAAAAATTGGAAATCAAAAACGATGGAGCACTCCCTGTTTCAGCGTTGTCATTGAGATTATTGATACTGCTGGCTTTTTTGATTTGCCGTTGCTGATCTGGAAAAGTACCGGTGACCGTTGATGTCAGTAGGAAAGGGTTAAACTTTTCTTCGTAAGCCGAAGCCGTTGCTATGGCTGTAGTGGTTGACGCAGCTGCAGTTGTAGGTGGATCTGCATTCATTCTGATAGCGGATGTGTGAATAAAAAAGAGATGCGCAGAAGCGGAAGGCGACAAATGCAGGTGATGGTCTTTATCCTGTAGAGTTGATAGACGGCCCGATTGAGTAAATGCAGAATCAAGCTGGGCTATAAAAAACGACGAGGAAACTTTTAGGAGATCTGAGAAAAGGGACGGAAAAATCATGCTATAGCTTTTATGCTTTCGAAAAAAATTGTAGGGTTTGAACGACTTGAACGACTTGGCATCCAGTACGTTTTGGTTGTTTTAGCAAATTTCATTGATGTCTGATTTACGTAATCACAAGTGGGTTGAGAAGAGAGTTCGGCGAGCAGGAACCTAACAATTTTGTATTTTATCATCAATAGAAAATACCAGAAATTCTGCTTTTCTAGCAGACTGTCGGCAGTCGATTTAACGAAACGGCAGACTTCGCATTCTTGAGGATGGTCCGGCAGAATGTCTGACAAGAAAAACAAAGAGAAAGAAAATTTGTAAATAAACGTTACTAAACAGAAAATTTATATTTTCATATCAATAATACAGTCATTATTCGTGTATAATACGCATTTCTTCCAGATCACGCGTGTCACCATATTCGGGATGGAGATAATGAAACAAAAAGAAAAAGCTATAAACGATGCTTTTCACCGAAAGTCGATCTATCTCCTTCAGTTTCTTCAGGTTAAAATGAAAGGTAAAAACTGTATACGAGGCAAATCTCTGCGGATAAGTGGAGGACCATAAATCAAATTACCTTATCACATCCGATTACCAGACATCAGAAAGTGTCTGTCTACCTTTATATATATATATATATATATATATATATAGAGAGAGAGAGAGACTTGACTCACCCATACATACATACACACCTGCAGATGCACACACACACACACACATACACACACACACATACACACACACACATACACACACACACACATATATATATATATATATATATATATTGACCCTTTTTATTTTTTATGTATACTTGTACACGCATATATACACATATATTCTACCTCATACATACCTGTCCACACATATACATACACACATATACATACACACATATACATGGGAGAAAAGTGCTCAATATCAAAGACAGTCTTTGCAGTTATTTGTAAAATTATGCTCATGCACTTGATCTCAATAATCTATGAATTTTGTTATAATGTAAAATATATAATTTCTTCTGTTTCTAATAATTTTATCGACTAATATTAGGTGTGCGTATTATACACGGATAATTACAGTATTTGAAAATGGATAACATTTTAATTAGTTTGAAAAAGAAATGGAAATTTTATGCTGTTGCAAACTTCAAAAAAAGAAAACAATTTAAACTTTCATCATTAAGACTAACGAGGATTTATTATTATGCTGAGCACAATCCTAACAACATCTGATACGCACTGACACTGTGTTGGTGGCAGACACAGAAGAAAAACTTCAAGAACTTCTAGTCAGGACATTAAAGGAAAGTGGGAAGAAATGACTAACCGTCAATTGTAAGAACATAGAATGTATGGTTTTCTATATGGGAAACAGCTCTCAAGTTTCGAGTTACGAATTGGAAATATGTAAGTTTAAACATCTGGGAAGTGTTTCAGTAGAGAACGGGAAATGTCATGCATAAATCTGAAGATGCACTGGAGTAACGAAAAATACCTTTCAAAAAGCTAAACAAAGGATTAAGAAACAGGAAAATTTCATTAGAAGCAAAAAAAAAAGGTGCTGAACTGCTACATAATATCACTTCTCTTATATAGTCGGTAAATGCTAGATACGTTCTTCACAGATGGAGAGGAGATGTAGTTCTACAGAAGGATGCTGAGAATGCTATGGACGGAGCATGTGCGTAACGAGGAAATTTTTAGGAAAATGGAAACAAAAAGGACATACTTATGAAGGGACAGCTGAAATTACTGAGATGCATAATGGGGAAAGAAGGCTTGGAGAATGTGAGATTCACAAGGCGTATTGTGAGCCAGAGAAGCAGGGGGAAACTTTAAGTAACCTACCTAACAAGTTTGTGAGAAAAAAAAATGTCAAATCGGGAAATATAGTTAAAACGTTAATGTTGCTAAGAGCTACAAACGATAAAATGTTGGTGGAGAGACTTGAACGCGCACGCCCTGAAGACCTACGGCGCATGAAAGAAAATTTTTCGTGCCTATTGTAAAAAGAAAACCAAGTTTCGTCAAGGCACGATCTCGCATCACTTCATTAAGCCCGTTATTCTGCAACCGTTAGGTTAATGCTTCAATTGAATCCATTGCTAGGTCAGCTGCTAAGGAAGTTGGTTCACTGTATCGGGCGAGACAATTTTTCTCTCCAACATCTATCATACATATCTATAAATGTACCATTCGTTCGTGCTTAGAATATTGTTGACACATATGATCCGGTTCTCCTGCTATTTACCTTAAACTCCTTGAGTTCATCAATATTATCGGTGCTGATCTGGCGTCTCGGCTTCAGTCCCTTTCCCACCGCCGTAAGGTTGCCTCCCTGAGTCTTTTTGTAAATACTTTCATGGTAATTGTCCAGATGAACTCTTCGCTATGCCACCTAGATTTTTTTGAATTTAAGTACAGTACTAGACTGGCATTGAGATCTCATCAATTTACATTTGAGTTGGCCAGATGTCGCCGTAAATTATATGCTAACAGTTTCTTTTCTCGCACTCCTCGCTTGTGGAAACCCCTTCTGGTTCCATGCTTTCTAGCGAACTCTAATCTCCCCCAAAATTAAGTGTAGCGTCATTCGATATCCATGGTCATCTTGATTACTCTCTTTCTCACACACACACATACGCGCGCACATATACAGATACGTGTCTGTGTGTGTTATATGTCCATAGATAAGTATATATGTATCGCTGGTGCCTGTCTATGCAGCTAGGGAATAATGCGTATAATGCATTTCGGTGATGAAGAAAAGAAGGGTCCCTTAAAATTATTTATTAATCTCATTGATTTCTTTCATAACATTTCTTTTTGCAACAATATGCTTATTTTTTTTCCTTTTTCTTCTACGTTTATTATTAGTCTTTTAATATCTCTTTCTGGCCCTCTCTATCAGTCTATCTGTCTCTCCCTCCCCCCTCTCTCTCTTTCTATATATATATATATATATATATATATATATATATAGTCATCCACAGACAGACTGTTTCGCTGCATCACAGCTCATTAGTGTGGCTAAATATCCAATCGCGTCAGGCCAGGACTGAAACACGACCGATTTGGTATCAGTCGGAGATTCTAACCCTTAGGCCATCGACGCCCGGTAGAGAGAAAGGCAAATTGTTGCGTATTTATTTTTTCATAATCATACCAGTCACTCAAAGAACACAATCGCTAGGAGAGTCTTGCATTATCAGCAGTAATAGTGACTGTTTACAAATTCGTTCCTTACTCTCCATTAAATTATTATATTGAAAGCCAATATCGTCATCCACAGACAGACTGTTTTGCAGTATCACAGCTTATCAGTGTGTATATATATATATCTTTAACCATTCTGTTGATCTGTAATGCTTTATCGGTAGGGCGTAGAAGATGCCGATTGCATCACTGCAGCAATTGTGTAAATCCGACCTGTGCCTTGCATTGTAATTTTTGTTCAATAAGATGTATTATTTCTTCTTCTTCTTCTTCTTCTTCTTCTTCTTCTTCTTCTTCTTCCTTTAACCCCGGAATGAGTCGTTGGGGCGCCGATGTCCTGAGCTGTCCACCATTCTCCTTCATCTGTTGCAGTCGTGTGTCAGAGCCTGGATCTCCGCTAATGACTTCTTAATGTGCTCATCATGTGGCGTGTCTAGAGCGTTTTAACCTGGCGGGTTAGATTACGGCCGATATCTTCCAACTAGGTCGCGAACACGTGGCCATAAGACTTATATTAGACTAAATAACTCAACAATGTCGTTAATTTAGAAACCTAACCTAGTGATCGAAATTATATTCTTTTAAAAAAAACAAACAAATCAGCTGCAATCTCAAGAGGATTTGTCTCTCTCTCTCTCTCTTCTGGATTAAAATTAACTTAGCATAGATGAGGAAAACTTAGTGAAAAATCAAACTTGATAGAATTTCGTACTGATAGCAAGACTAGCTAACATACTATTTACAGAAGGGACACTAATAACAGAGATCGATATCAGAAACGGAGCTGAAAATCATATGTCCTTTGGTTTCAGTGCAGCTGCTTTGTGTAGACATTTACTAATATTAATTAAGAAAGTTGTTAAGACGACTGACCTGAAAATGGCAAATATGTTTCACCTAAACGAAAATGTAAGCAAGCAATAACAGCAAAATCGTTCATAACGAACACAGTATGTGTTCAACACAGACTACAAACATAATGATAGATCGGTACTCTCAAAATCTAATTGCATCTCCACTTTTACCCCGTAATCACGGCTTGCGGCAAATATGGCAAGCAATTCATTGGTTGAGGCGTCTACAATCAGGTGTCTGACAGAAGATTGGGCTTTGCATTCAAAGAGACCGAACTCTGTTTGCAGTGTTCCGTAGAACAATAATTCAGTGCCTTACGATCTCCTGGTTTGATTTTCAGAAGAGATTTTTTTTCTTTTTCTTATTCTTTTCTATCCATTTCTTTTTTTTTTTTCTTCAGATAAATGGACACGTCTTAAACATTATAATAACCAAGCATTTACATAATGTAGAAAGAAAAACCTGCGTTTCAAATTATATTCTTGACGATATCGGAGGCGTCGCTTGAAAACAAATTTTTATTGCGCACTTTGGATCATAACTCATTTTCTTTTCAATCCCTTTTTTTTATTAATGTTTTCGTAGATGTTTTCAACTTTTTTAGTGACGTTTTTGCGTTAAAAAATCGATCGCAGACAGTGATAACTAGGGAAAGAAATTACAGAAGAGCAAAGGAGCCAAAATAATATATATATATATATATATATATATATATATATATATATATATATATATATATATATATAGCAA